TCCGTAATCCCGAGTTTGGCTTCTCTTTGGTTTTGATCTTCTATCTCTGTGCACAGAACCATTTAATTTTCCAAGACACTCTCTTTGGATCTCTGCTGGGCCTGTCAAACATGAGCGCAAGAGGACCACCCTCATCATACCTCTGCCTGAGTGCCTTGGTTCAGGCAGGGCCGTGGACACTACACAGGGATGCACCCGGGTCATTCCAGTACCAGATCTTACTTCTCATCCACACTCTGGAGGAACTTCCGAACAAGCAGCTTGATTCGGGTGATGTTCCTCCCCACCTGCAGCACGGACCCGTTTTCTTCAGTGTAGGCAAAGTCAAATGGATACACAGCCTCTGGCCCAACGTGCTTCTTGCCAATGATCCCTGAAGGAGACAAGGAGCCGGAGCCAGTCAAAAAGAGGAGGAGAAAGTGATACAGGTAGTCCTCGCTTAACGACCATTCGTTAAGCAACCATTTGAATTTACGATGGTGCTGAACGAAGGGACTTAAGACCCATGCTCAAAGTTACAGCCGTTGCAGGGCCCCCATGCTCACGTGATCGCCATTTGCAATCTTCCCTGCTGGCTCCCCCATGACTGATGACTTTCAATCCAAGCAGGATTTTGGCATGGAGCTTTTCCAGCCAGCCCCCAGAGATGAGAGGGAGTCTGCTTAGCAGGCAGCAGTGGCTTGTGACCTTCCCTGCCGGCTTCAGAAGCCTCTCAACTCTGGGACTGAAAATCCAAGCGGTTCTGAGGCCTTGCACACCTGCACTGCACCCCCACGCACCCTCCCGAACCCTCCCATGCACTCCCTCACTCACACCCCCACCTGGCGCTTGTAATTTCCTGCTGGCTTCCCCACTGACTTGACTGTGGGAAGCCAGCAGGAACTTGCTTTGCCTAACGACCTGTGCTTCTCACTTAAAGATGGCAGCTGGGAGTGCCAGGATTGCGGTCGCTAAGCAAAGCAGCCATGTGATGATTCACTTAATGACCACATTGCTTAGTGATCTAAATTCTGGTCCCAATTGTGGTTGTTAAGCGAGGACTACCTGTAGACCCCTTAATATTAGTCTGTCAGTTAGGGTAGTGCTCATGTGATATGTACAAAATAGACATAACCTTATGCTGGCATCTACAGGAGGCCGGGGGGAGATGATGCAAAACATCATGGCAGTGTTGGCGTGATGGCACTGTCATGCACATGCTATCATTCTGACATACAGTAATTGCAGTTTGCTTGCTGATATGACTTTTCAAACTCTGTCTCCCTCTCCGACAGTTTCAACACTTGGTGCAGTTGCCTGGCACTTAACTGTGTAATAGATCCAAGAATTCTACGCTACATATTCATAAAGCTTAACAGAATAATGGGTATGTCTAAAAAAATATTGACACAATCAAGTTTCTGTCAGGCAGAGTGGAGGTGTGAATACATTCCACACCAAAAATACACATCAGCGTTAGAGAGATTTAAAGAATGCAATGTCTATCTTGTTCTCCAAATAAATCCAGCCAGAAGTTATAAGAAATATCTGTTTGTTTATTGAGAAAAATAAACCTACATAAAATACAAGTTTCATGCAAAACATATAAAAATCACTTCTTCTCGTTTATGTAGCATCCAAGACTTAAAAAAACCTTATCCAATACACAAGTTCAACTCCAAAGTCTTTAGCCAAAAACTCTCAGAGAAGAGGTACACTACTTAGTTATTAGTTACAACTACATAACCTATCTATAAGAAACAATGCTTAGGTTATGTAGTTGTAACTAATAACTAAGTAGTGTACCTCTTCTCTGAGAGTTTTTGGCTAAAGACTTTGGAGTTGAACTTGTGTATTGGATAAGGTTTTTTTAAGTCTTGGATGCTACATAAACGAGAAGAAGTGATTTTTATATGTTTTGCATGAAACTTGTATTTTATGTATGTTTATTTTTCTCAATAAACAAACAGATATTTCTTATAACTTCTGGCTGGATTTATTTGGTAGGTTATGTAGTTGTAACTAATAACTAAGTAGTGTACCTCTCTGGTCGTAACCCGAAAAATTCGCAAGCAGAGGCGTTCGTATCCCGAGGTATCACTGTACGTGCAAACTAGAAGGCCGATACAGGTGGCGGGATTTCTCGACCCATAAGACTTTGTTTGGAGATTA